TGAAACTGATAAGTGGCAGAAGGCATACATTTTATAGGATTTGCAGGAAATAGAATATGTGTTTGGGTGCTTAAGTGAACTACAAAGTTGGTTCCTGTTATCGTATTTTATTTTTAGATTGTCATAACTGGAGCATGCCTGTAAACTTTGTTTTAATGATTGTCATAAGAACAGTAAAATTTGAAAGTGAAAAGATCTGTTAAGCCTCAAAACCTAAACAGAACAAACTATGATGTTTCCGTCAGTGTTAGCCTTATAAACTCTGCTAAAGAGTATGTCAATGTGATTGTATATATACATATGCATATAGGATTTACCAAGAGGTCCACTTTAACAAAAGATGGGATGTGACATGAACATCAAATCTTCTTATTTTGCTTTAAACATGCAACAATAAGTGAATGGGTGGCTTTTCAAAATAAATAAATAAACAAGTGAATGAGTGGTTTAATTCTTAAATATAGCACATGAATGTTTTTTGAATTGAAATTTTCAGGTTTCATACTACTTCAGGAAGCCATGTGCTGATGATATTGTCATTTTTAAAAGTCCACCAGTTCTTCAGGAAGTAGGATACACTGATGAAGATGTCTTCATTAAACGAATAGTAGCTAAGGAAGGTGATATTGTGGAGGTGAGGTCACTCTGTCAATTTCTAAGTATCTGTATTTTTCCTTTTGATAAGCTGATTGTCTTTTGTTTCTCACTGTATTTAAAAAATTATTCTGGTATATCAATGTTGCATGTTATAATATGAAATGGCAAGAATCAAGGAAGATGATAGAACAAGCAGATATATTTGCAAATTATCCACTTTGTTCTCTTTGCACTCCACATATTAGGCACAGGGACATCTTATCTTACTTTTCTGAGTTACATGTAAGGTGCCATTTCTTTACAGTTAATCCTCATTTGTTTTCTTTTCTGTGTTGATGCATTATTAACTATAATTTGGTTTCATTAGAATGAAATATGAAAATATGCTCCATTGCAGGTTCATAATGGTAAGCTTATTGTTAATGGGGTTGTTCGAGATGAAGACTTCATCAATGAAGCACCTTCTTACGAAATGACACCAGTTGTAAGTATGATTTCTAATCTTAGAACCCTTGGCCTAATCCCAAATGAGTCTGGCAGCTATTGAGCAGAAAATTAATCTTAAGTTATGTAGTAGAAGTATTTTGGCGTTGTTAATAAGACAAGATCTGCCTACAAGAGAGAGAAAAGGACAGAAAGAAGATAAAGAAAGAGGGGGAGAATGGGGAAATCTGGAAGTGATTTGGAGACAATCATGCTTAGATAAACCTTTCCAGTGAAATAGAGGTTGAAACCATGGTCTTGAGTTAAGACACAAATATTCCATTAGTTGTGCAAGGTTGTATTTTTGCCTTATTTCTAAGTTTGTGTTGCATGTATCTGATTGTATATATGCTATTCATGTTGCAGCGAGTACCGGAGAACTCAGTCTTTGTGATGGGTGACAATCGTAATAATAGCTATGATTCCCACGTTTGGTAAGATATCATGCTCTAACAGGTTGACAGTGGTGCATCCATGGAAAATCAGCTGAGCTGATTCTCCCCTTATATCTTTTTGCTGATTTCTTGAGTTATATATTGTTTAGGGGTCCCCTCCCTGCCAAGAATATCATAGGAAGATCAGTATTCCGCTATTGGCCTCCAAAGAGGATAGGTGGCACAGTACTTGAGCGTGGCTATGCAGTTGACAAGCAGGAGAGTGTGAAAGCATCTGAATAGATATTCAGCCTACCGATTTTATTTGACCAAAGTAATCCTTTGGCTGTTTACACCATTTCCCCTGATGTCTCTGTTTTCTTTGTTTACTCATTGTGAGCTTTTAATCCCCTTTTTTTACTCTCCCAAAATTTCTGCAATAGCATTTTTTAGCAGACAGGTTATTCTTGAAGGACAGGTCCCTTATTTGGCCTGCTATATGATTTTCATGCGACTATAGATTGACCCTTGTAATGATTAATGCAATGAATATTCTGTTCTCTATCTTTTCATTTCTTGTTGAGTGGCAGTTGATTGTATTATGTTTCAGGTTTAATAGTATTGATAAGAGTCTTGAAATTCTTGATTGAGGAAGCAAATCATCTAACTTTGGCCTTGCCAATAGTTCCAAGCTCTCTTATTTGCGGGCACAGTTTGTAGGAGGGAGGAGTAGATCTTTTGTCAAAACTCACCTCTTCTAACCACTTGGAGCCAAGTTCAAGTGGTGCTTCCATAATTTTATGGAGAAGAGTTCCCACATAGAATTTACTCTAAAAGAACAATCAACTGATCATCTGTCAGTTCTGCTTGTTTCTCCATTTGCTCATGCCTGCTAATCTTTTTCTTAAACTCCTATGTTCTTCTCACGTGTTAAGACTTTGGCCATGTATTCAGAGCAATAATAGAGCTGCTGCTAGGGATGTGTCATTGTATACCAATAACTTCTAATGCAGATATCTACATCATGTACCTAGCATTTTCTAGTTGATTATATATCCCCTAAATATTGGTTTGCACACATTTATGTGGAACAAACTGACATGTTTCACTCATGAATGGAAACTGATCTACATGTTCCAAGACTGAGAAGTATGAGCCTAATTGAAGCGCAAAGAACAAATACGCCCTCCTTGAAGACAAGCAAATAGCGACCAGTATGACATATGAACAAAATCTTGTTTTACCAATTATCACAGAAAACATTCGTGGAGTTTCTCTACATGCATACAGGCGTAAATGGCAACAAGAAACTTCTTAATGAATCAAATTTATGCCATCGACAAATATAACCCACAACATGTAACCTACATCAAGATGATAGTTCATATTTCTCCAAGCAAAGACAAACTAAACTTTCTCAATTTCACTCCAAACTGATCTATTAAAGAAATTATTAATGCCACACACATACCCAAGCACTAGAAGCTCTGAAAAAGACTCAAATCAGTCAAAATCCACCATTGCCAAGCGGAAACCAATTTGTAGAGTTGCAGGAGAACCATCACTCTGAAACTCAGTCATATACGCATGAACTATTTTTTAGCTTGAGAGGTTTGTTACTATGGGGGTCAATAACCAAGGAACAAGAGATAAGTTTTCGATGCCTTGATCTCACTAACTTCCCCACCACATTCCCTCTGGATCGAACTTCAAATATCAACTTCATTGGAACTCCACCCATATCGTCTGAGACTGCTAAGCTTGCCCCTGCCCCATACAAAGGAACTTTATCTCCCTCGAGAGTCGCAACCACAGTACGATGACTCTTTCTTGGTTGATAGTACTTCTTCAACTGCAATCAGAAACATACAAATAGAACTACTAATTAAGAGAGACCAAAATGGTAGAAAACAAAAAAAGTTACTTGGAATAAGTATTAACTAGGGCTAGATCTTATTCCAAGATTTCATAGTTTGTTGTCTAAAATATCTGAGAAACCATTACCTGACTTGCCACTGCAATTCTAAGTACATTAGATTGACTGGATTGGGACTAACAATGAAACCAAAGAAAGTAGCAGGGTTGTATACTGTCATCCTCACCGAACAATTCATGGTAAGCATCTTGCTTGGAACTCCTGTCGTGTCCGTTCCCTCTCCAAAATAAAAATTATGGGCCGTCAACGCTCTGCAAAACAAGAATTTCACAAGCGGTTAGAGAGTGTAACAGAAATTAAGAATAACCATATCCAAGTTTCTGACAAGTTTAAAGATGCTTATTATCACTTTTTCGGGGACCTCCTGTCTAAAGGAATCAGAGGTAATAAATAATATTTATACCCCATATAACGACAAGAATATATGTATATTACTAAAGCAAAACCTTAACAGCAACTCAGCTTGTAAGGCCGACTGGCACCCCAGATGATCAAACAAAACAACTGAAAACCGCCACGAACCCCAACACACCCATCAAAATCTGACACCTTCTCGTCAACCCTTTATCTCTCTCACAGATACCCTCCATAATCCCCTCCTTCTTCAATAACATGGCACTCGGTCCAACCCTTCTCGTCCCTCTCCCTTTCTTAAGATTCCGGAGAAACGACTGGCAGATGAGGCCCTGGAGTGACGGCTGTAGGAAGGGTGGGAAGGAGATTCCATGGCTGTTGTAGGCGGGTGTCGCTTGCATGGAAGATGACTTGTCTCCATCGGGTGGAGTCCCGGAAGGCCTTTGACGTATACGGGTTGGCATCTTGAAAATGGTCGACCGAGCTTGTTACATCGGAATCTGATTTGGTGTGCATCGCCTTGAAACTGAATTCTTTCAAGCAGGAGAGTTGAGTTGGGGGGCAGTTTACCGCAAGAGTGAAGACAGGCAAGAGAGTGACGAGAAAGGTACAAATGTAGGCTTGGAGCTGAGGTATGGGGGTGAAGCTGGAGGTTCGGGTACGACTGTCGGCAGTGATTCCGTTAATCTGTTTGTTGGCTTTGAATAAAGTTAAAACGTGACTGATAGTGAACTGTCCGCGACGTCGTTTTCGCTTGCACGTGGTAGATCGAGTTTAAACTTTCTCATCCAATTTGGTTCGCGAAAAAGGTGTTTGGTTGAACAAAATAATTATTTTATGAAAATAAAATATGTCAAAGACAGTTATTAGATAATTTAATTAGTAGAATAAATTAAAAAAAATTATATAATTTGGCACTGTACAACTTAGCTATTGATTTTATTCAAGTAACATAGCTACTGAATCTTAATTTGCAAATAAAATCTTATTTCATATTGTTATAACTATTTAGAATAATATTATTTTATACTTAAAATTTAAACAGATAAATTGCTCCAAGTCTCCAATCCAACGAGCCAACCCGCCTTAACCTGGTCCAGGTATTTCTTTTACTACATTTTTGTGTTAGACTCTATAAGCTACGGGATAAGTGTACGTGTGTACATATGCATATAGGATTTACCAAGAGCTCTACTCTACCGAAAGATGGGACGTGACATGAACATCAAATCTTCTAATTTTGCTTTAAACATGCATCAATAAGTGAATGATGAGTGGTTTAATTCTTAAATATAGCACATGAAAGCTTTTTCAATTGAAATTTTCAGGTTTCATACTACTTCAGGAAGCCATGTGCTAACGATATTGTCATTTTTAAAAGTCCACCAGTTCTTCGGGAAGTAGGATACATTGATGAAGATGTCTTCATTAAACGAATAGTAGCTGAGGAAGGTGATATTGTGGAGGTGAGTCTTTGTGATGGGTGATAATCGTAATAATAGCCATATATGATTCCCACGTTTGGTAAGAGATCATGCTCTAACAGGTTGACAATGGTGCATTCATGGAAAATCAGCTGAGCTGATGATTCTGCATGTATATCCTTTTGCTGATTTCTTGAGGTATGCATTATTCAGTGGTCGCCCTCCTTGCCAAGAATATCATAGGAAGATCAGTATTCCGTTATTGGCCTCCAATGAGGGTCGGTGGCACAGTACTTGAGCGTGGCTGTGCAGTTTTTTTTTTTGGAAAAGTGAATTTATTTATCTCACAGCCGGTACGTCGAAGCAAGTCTGTGGCCTTATCGGCTTGACACTCCCAGCAGCATTATGAACCGGTTTGGGTAAAAAGGCCTGTACAATTAACAAAAGACAGCCACTCAACAAGCTATTAGAAGCTGTTCAGCCATGAAGGCTCAGGAAAAACCACCAATGTACCGCCTCTAGACAAGCAGGAGAGTGTGAAAGCATCTGAATAGATATTCAGCCTACTGATTGTATTTAACGTAGTCGTTTGGCTGTTTACGCCATATCCCCTGATAATGTCTCTGTTTGCTTTGCTTACTCATTGTGAGCTTTTAATTCTCCTCTTTTTTTTTTTCCCAAATTTCTGCAATCATTTTTTAGTAGAAAGGCTATTCTTGAAAGACAGGTCCTTTTTTGGGCCTGATATATGATCTTCATGCGACTGTAAATTGACCCTTGTACTGATTACTGCAATGAATTTTTTGTTCTCTATCTTTTCATGTCTTGTTGAGTGGCAGCTGATTGTATAAGTTTCAGGTTTCATAGTATTGACAAAGGCCTTTAAATTCTTGATTGAGGGATGAAATTAGCCTTGCGAGTAGTTCAGATCTCTCTGGTTTGCAATCAAACCTCATCTCATCCAACCACTATAGCCATGCATTGTGGTTTGCAATCAAAGCAAGAATAGAGCTGCTGTAGCTAGGCCTAGGGGTATGTCATTGTATACCAGTAGCCTCTTATGCTAATTTCTTCATCATATACCTTGCATTTTCTAGTTGATTCTATATCCCCACATACTGGTTTGCACACATTTATATGGCAGTCTATACACCCAAATATTGGTTTGCACACAATTATATGGAAAACACTGCCATGTTTCACTCATGAATGGAAACCAATCTCCACGTTCCAAGACTCTTTGAAGTTTGAACCTAATTGAAATGCAAGAACAAAGACACCCTTCTTGAAGACAAGAAAATAGCAACGGTATGAGATATGAACAAATTCTTGTTCTACAATTATCACAGAAAACATTTGTCGAGTTTCTCTGCACGTGTAAAAGCGTAAATAGAAAATAAGGAACTTCTTAATGAGTCAAAACCATCCATCCTATTCCTATCAGCAACAAATACCCTGCTCCAAGATGATAGTTCATATTTCTCCAGGCAAAAACAAATTAAACTTCCAACTGCTTTTTAATTTCACCCCAAACTGATTGATACTATTTTCTAAAGAAATTATTACTTCCACACACATACCAAGCACTACTGGAAATGATTCAAATCCACCATTTCCAAGTGGAGAACAATTAGTTGGGCTGTAGGAGAACCACCACTCCTAAACTCAGTCGTATATGCAGGACCTATTTTCTAGGTTGAGAGGTTTGTTACTATGGAAGTCAATAACCAAGGAACATGAGATACGTTTTCGATGCCTTGACCTCACCAACTTCCCCACCACATTACCTTCGGATCGAACTTCAAAGTTCAACTCCATTGGAACTCCACCCATATCGTCTGAGGCTGCTAAGCTTGCCCCAGCACCATACAAAGGAACCTTATCTCCCTGGAGAGTCTCAACCACGGTACGATGACTCTTTCTTGGTTGATAGTATTTCTTCAACTGCGATTAGAAACGTACAAATAGAACTACTAATTAAGAGAGATCAAAATGATAGAAAAGAAGAACTACTTCAAATAAGTATTAACTTGGACTAGATCTTATTCCAAGATTTCAAAATTTGTTGTGTAAAATATCTGAGAAATGTTACCTGACCAGTTGCCACTACAATTTCTGAGTACATTAGATTGACAGGATTGGAGCTAACATGAATACCAAAGAAAGTAGCAGGGTTATATACTGTCATCGCCACCGAACAATTCAAGGTAAGCATCTTGCTTGGAACTCCTGTTATGTCGGCTCCATCTCCAAAATAAAAATTATGGACCGTCAAGCTCTGCAAAGCAAGAATTGTCACAAGCGGTTAGAAAATGTAGCAGAGATTAACAATCCCATCCCAAGTTTCTGACAAAACACACAAGTTTAAGATTGTTTATTATTACTTTTTTCGGGGTGTCTTCCGTCTAAGGGGCTCAGAGGGTAATTAAATAATATTATTAT